CCCATTTACCATTTCATGTGAAAGAAGTAAACAAAGATCGATGTAGTAACTTACAGAAACATCCTGAAATTCTTCCAAATTAGTTGCAACTGTTTCCCACAAGTATGTTGTACTAGGAAGGATCTGGGAACCCTTTGTCTTGACCTTCTTCACCTCAACTTTTCTTATTTCCCGATACAACCGATGACCAATAACTGGATCATCTTCATACCTATGCCAAGAAAGAAAATGATATCTTGTTAAATATGGTACTACTTAACAACTCTAAAAATAGAAACACTAAATACAAACATATATGAATTCTCAACACCCTTACCAGTAATTAATCCCTTGTGAATCACCTCCAACACGATCTTTGCGAAATGCCGAAAGTTGAACACCATGCTTGAGTGAGTTGTCAATGTAGTTTCGAATGTCCTCTTGCTGCAAAAGATCACCCAGATTCAGTTTCCATTTAAAGAAATGAACGATCTCTTAACTAGCTCTACCAAACAATTTCTGGAAAATGAAAATATTTTTTTTGAAATAAAAAAAAAAAAAAAATTTATTTTCCACCTGTTAAATGTTTGAAGTGTCTGACCTCCACGACAGGCTTTCAAGGTTTAACTTTTTTTTAAGTAGTTCAAGATTTCTTATTGCACAGGGATAAAAACAAAAACATTGAAGCATCGCATTTGTATCGAATTCAACCATGCACTTTTAATTGTATCAATATGTAACATGAACCATCAACACATCTCAAAGAAAATATGCAATATGCACAATGGCTTTCTGCCAATTAACCGTCTACAAAAGATTTTGTCTATTCAAACAGAATCTCAAATGTGTTACACGTGTGAGCTGACATGTGAAAAACATATGCACGTGCCTGAGGGGCATTTTAGTCAATTCACTGAAAATATCCCATCCTTATTTCTCCTTCCCTTGTTATGTTTGCCAGTATCTCTCTCTTCTTCAACTTTTTCGTCAAAAGCCAAAAGCTGAAACCCTAAATCATAGCCAAACAAATTGTTCAACTCCCTCATTCTTCAAAATCTTTCCTCGAAAACAACCCAAAAACTCTCTATATCTCTCTTCAAGCTCCTTATTCTTCTTCTTCTTCAACTACCATGACTGTCACACATGCAAACTCTCTCTGTTCAAACTCTACAGATAAGGAATGACATGGATAAACAATTTGGTTCCTTGTTTGCTATAATTGGTCAGGAAAAGAAGCTGCCAATCAAAAAAAAAGTGAAAAGGAAGTTTGAGTGATGGAGACTTTGATGCTTACAAAAATAGTTCTAGTGATTGATTCAGAACAACAAAGAGATAAAGATGGGATGAGAACCTTTGATACATATCTGGAGGAGAAATCGGGAAAGAGAAAGGCAGATATAGGATTTTAATATTTCTTTTTTATTTTTAAAAGTTTTTTATCATGCTGAGTAACTGCTTCCACCATCGGCTTTTTAGATGATTCAGTTTCAGCATGACAATTATTTTCCAGGTCAACTGAAGTTTGAGTTCGGAATTTTTGTACTGAGACTTTGATGTTTGAGTGTCTTGCTGCGGATTATTGTCTATGTTTGGCTTAAGTTCTTCACTTAGTTGCTGCTTCTTTACTGGATTAGGTTTTGACTGATGTCATTGTTTCCATTTTTTTCAGATGGTTGCTGGACTTTCTGTTTCTGTTTTAACCTACTGCTACATTTTTGTTTTTTGATATCTTTGTTGGGTGAGATCGGGGGGCTAGTTTGGTGTGTCTAGGCATTAGCCTTCATGATTTTATTAATAATAGTAAGGGGTAATAATAGTGAGAACAGCTCTGTCATTGTTTACATTTTCTTCAGATGGTTGCTGGACTTTCTGTTTCTGTTTTAACCTCCTGCTACATTTTTGTTTTTTGATATCTTTGTTGGGTGAGATCAGGGGACTATTTGGTGTGTCTAGGCATTAGGCTTCATGATTTTATTAATAATAGTAAGGGGTAATAATAGTGATGAACAGCTCTGTCATTGTTTGCATTTTCTTCAGATGGTTGCAGGACTTTCTGTTTCTGTTTTAACCTACTGCTACATTTTTGTTTTTTGATATCTTTGTTGGTTGAGATCGGGGGACTATTTGGTGTGTCTAGGCATTAGGCTTCATGATTTTATTAACAATAGTAAGAGGTAATAATAGTGATGAACAGCTCTGTCATTGTTTGCATTTTCTTCAGATGGTTGCAGGACTTTCTGTTTCTGTTTTAACCTACTGCTACATTTTTGTTTTTGATATCTTTGTTGGGTGAGATCGGGGGCCTAGTATGGTGTGTCTAGGCATTAGCCTTTATGATTTTATAATAATAGTAAGGGGTAATACTAAAATTACCTTTCATATAATCAAGAAGAAGAAAATGAACAAGAAGATGAGAGTTAAAGAGCAAAACTGTTGGAACTTGAAGCAGGAATCAAGAAGGGAAAGGATCTCTAGAGTTTTCATGCATTTCTGAATTTTATTATTATTTTTTAACAATTTATCAATAATTTTTAGAGACAAATAACCTTGTAGACGTGTCAAATTTTATATTTGCCCAAAGTGCCATGGGTTCAAAAAGGTTAAAAGTAACAGAATTCTTAAACAGAAGGGCTACTTTGCTATGAGGTCACAGTGCGTGGTGCAAATTAATACAATTAGAACTGCAGGGTGAAAATTAATACAAATGGATAATGCAAGGTACTTTTTAATATGATCCCTCAAAAAGATAATCCGCTTAAATAAAGAATCTATTATGCTTGATTCATTAATGAATTTGATATTGCACTTTGAGTTTAACAAAATGGATGGATGGAGGTTTGGATAAAAAGTGAACAGCATCAAAAGTAAGAAAAAAGTTCTTTTTCTACCAAAATAAAGAGAATATCATTCATGGATCAAGCCAATGACTCGAAACAATTATCTAGACAAGATTGTTGATTGATGATGATATTACCTCAACACGAATATCGCATAGTGCTTTCAGAATCACCACACGGACTCCAGGATCAAGCGATTTATATACGTCAATCTCCACTCTAAAAAAGTAACATGAATAAGTCATTAGAAACACCAAAAGCATCAGCTACTGAACTATTCAAGAGATGCATAGCCACCTACCCATGTGAAGCAACAATGGGAAGGTCTCCCTCCGCGACCTGTCAAATACCAACATCAAGTAAGCATTGCAAAATTAATTGTCTATGATTCAAGATTTCAAACATCAGTTAAAAGTTGTATAGAAATCAAGTTACCCAATGCCACCAGTCTCTTAATTTTCTGCACAAGACGGTAATCCAGGTATCCCGTGTAAGAGCCATACGGGTGATGGGAGGGATTGCCTGCAAAAGGAAAAAGTAAACATTAAATGCTCAGCACCAGCTGTTGCAGCAAGCATAAACTGTCAATTTATGCTGGATCTTCAACCAACATGATCATTAATAGCTTCCTGATGCATTTAACTCAAAAGTAGACAGTGTTCTAGCTGTTTGATCCATTTGAGGTATCCTTGAAGGAGATTGAATATTACCAACACAAACAAGAAGATTAAAGAGGGAGTTACGGGTTTTGAAAGCAAGGGAAACGTTAGAGGAAGACAATCCAAAAACAGAACCGTCCAACCTTTTAACATTTGTAACAAAGAGCATTGTTATAGTTCCACACTTATACAAGCACAAATCAAGCATTCATATCTGGGGAATAAACTTTGCCATTCTGTAGTCTATAGGAAAAGTTTTCACATATTAGACACTAGAATAGCAGCTATTGCATTGAACAGCAGCAATAGGGTAGCAGGGTTTGTAAAAAAAAAATGAAGTATCCCAAAGATACAGTACCACGACTTGGATTTGTTGGACAATCTATCATGATGCTGTAGGATTGATATAAGCTGTATAACTAATAAAACGCAAATGGAACATGCATGTCTGTCATATTCCAAGAGAATTATTTGTTGCATGCCCTTGCTAATTTCTTCCAAATTATTTTAAGTTAATTGCATCATTCTATTCATGGTATAGTAAAACGAGAATTTGTTTAAATGCCCAGAGTCAGATAATGCATAATTTCAAAACCAAGAAACAACCAGCAAGCCAAGCCCCTCATCAAGTGGCATCATGCGAAACCATTCAAATTTCACCTCAATCCTATCTGCAATTAATCTCTCAAAATGCTAAAGCATCCTCCATGAACCGTAAGAGCTTCTAAACACCTCATGATAGCAGCAGGTAATTATTACTCAAGCGAGCCATTGCCTAAATATATTGACTGCTACATGACAGCAGAACAAAAGTAGGTAGCAATTGCTAACCAAACTAATAAACTTTGCACACATATTGGAAAAGAAAAAACAATGGAGAAGCAGGAACGAAGGGACACAATTTCCACTAAATGGAGCTTCTCACAAGCATACATTACCATCATTCTAATAAAGAAATAACACACGTTCAAATACAGAAGAAATGGAAACAAAGATACAGGTATTTGCACCTGGAAGAAAAACACAAACCTTTAACAAAGGCATATGTATATCACTTAAAGTATCATTGGGCGTAAGCAAAGCTGTTTCGAACTCCTCTGCAGAGAACTCTACCGAGATGTTCAACTGAGACCTAAAAATCTACAATATCAAAGCACCCAAACAGAAAAGCAAAAGCACAAAGCACTATTAATACTTAAAGAAAACAACAAATTCTTTAAACATCAGAAGGAAATGAAGAGAAGTTTAGACAAGAAAGTAAGAGGCTCACATGCAAGAAATTAAGTATTGAAGCTAATTCCCACATGGAGCGGAGGCTCCACCTAGGCAGCTGTGAGGGCTCGGGAGGGCCAACAAGCGGCGTAATGATCTTGCTGCTGCCGCTGCATTGCTGCTGGTGCAACGGTGACTCACCATTCCCTTCCTGCTGCTGTTGGTGCTGCTCCTTCTTAGCCGGCTTCTGCTTCCGCTCAGCCGCTTGCTGCGCGTAAAGTCGCTGCGCAGCACGGAGAGTGCACGCACGAGAAGGCCGATTACTCCTGGTGAGCGGCGGTTGTTTCGCAGTTGCTGCAGCTTCGTTGTCGTTCTGGTGCGCAGGGGAGTGGTGGTTCTGGGAGATAGCCGGGTCAGGGGAGGATCGGTCGGGGACGATCTGAGGGGAGGAATCTAAGGACATGATTAAGGAGATCGAGAGGGTTTAGGGCAGCTTAAGGTAGGATTACATGTAAGAGGTCTTAGGGGTTTGCATTGAAGAGAAACAGAGAAGAATCAAAGTAAAGGGATTATTGGCTTCAGAGAGAGAAGCAAGAAAAGGTACAGTAAGAAAGAAGGAAGGAAGCAGCCAAAGAAGAAAACCAAAGGTCCAAACCATCATTGATTTCACATATATGATGTGTTATTCTGTATATATATATATGTATATCTATGCTGTGTATGTTGTTAGGGTCTGTGTTGAGTGGAAACAGGGAACAATGAGAGAGAAAGAGGGGGAAAGCGGAACAAGGGCAAAGGAGGGAGAAAGAGAGCAGGAGAATGAAGAAGAAAAGTTGGGGATTTTTTTTTTTTTTCTTTTCTTTTTTCCTTCTGTTATTTGCTTAATTTTTTATGTTGTTAATTTTAATTTATATATATATATATAAATACATTTATTATATATATATATACACACACACACACACACACAAAAAGAAGAACTTGGAGTTCATATAAAAAAAAAAATTTAAGGAATAATAAAAAGAAAAGAAAATAGTAAAATTAATATATTGGTGCTTTTTTTTTTTTATATTTAGAATTGTTTAATTGGTGCTTAATTGTTAAATCAATTAATTATGCATAATGTGATCAAATGTTATATATATATGTATATATATACATATATTTCAAATACCAACATTGAGTATATTTATTTTTGTATTTCATTTCTTATTCTTATCTCCAACTTTCTTATTATTATTACTTTTGATTTCACAATTTTAACTTTTATTTTTACCATTAATTATTTAAGTTGAAAAAATATAATTTTTTTGTCAAAATATTGAATACCATAATTATAGAAGTTGAGGTGCAATATAATTGATTTTATTTGTTATTATTATTATTATTATTTTATATATATATATATATTTTTTTTTTTGGTGTAATTCTAATATGTTATGTTTTTTATTAAAATATATTGTTTACTAAATTATTAATAAATAGTAATTCATTAATTATAAACTAATTACTATATTGTATTGGCTTTATCTAAATTTGTATTCATTAAATGCCTCATTTTCCTTATAGAAAGGGTGAGAGCACATAGTTGGGCATGAGATAATTTCCTCACACCTTAACTAAGTTATAGAGAATATGTATTATTACAATACTCATCTCACAAAAATGAGTAGTTACTATTTCATTATGAACTAAAAAAGAAAGCACATATATCTTAATAGATTATTTGTAAGTTACTATAAGTTGCTAAATATTTTTATAATTATGAAAAAAAAATAAATTATATAAGATTTACCCAGTGTGAGATACAACATTATTTGAGAAAAAAACCCTAAATGCTCTCAGAGTAAAAAAAAAATCTTCAGTAAAAATATTTTAATGCGTTATAGATTCTTATCCAAAATTTGTATCATTTAATAATGACATACGAACCTATTACGGGTAGAAGAATAGAGATCGAAACAAATAACTCTTACGGTCCAGAATAAAAAAAAAATAAAAATTTTATTTTATAGATTATTATTTTAATATTATATATATATATATAACTTTTATCATCAATTCTATTTTAATATAGATATAGAAAAAGACTCGAAAGAAATATATTAAATAAAAATATAAAAAAAAAGACATAAATATTTCTTCTATTTGAGCAAGAGCTAAAGTAGCTCCTAATAATACTGTTATTATTATACATTATGTAAGGTATGCTTATGAAAAAGAAAAAGAAGTCGAGCTACTAATGAATCATTTCTTTGAATAAGAGAAGATTACGTAAATATTTACTCGAAATCTCACTTATCATATTCTATAATGGAATACGTAATTTTTTTTCTGAAAAATTCATCATGATATATATGATTCATGCGTAATATCATAAAAAATGAATATAAATTTTTTACTACTATTTAGTATCGACAATAGATTTAAAAATATATATATAAAAATATTAAATCTAAATATTCGCATCACGTCGTTACTGTTTCAATTTTAAATCAAAGACTTTAGAATTCTAAAAAAGGGAAAAGAAAAAAAAAAAAGAAATGAGAAGAAGAAGAATAGGTTTGCAATAAAAAAGGTAACTTTTGTAAAACATAAATTAGGATTTCATTGCATGATATTTAAATGTAGAAGTTAAAAAGAAAAGCTTGAGTATATGTTAAAAAAAGAAATAATTATTTATGATTTATATATTTTAAACTTTCTAAAAATATAAAGTGAATTTTTGAATTAGAATCTAAGAAGATGTAATTTTTTTATAAAAAAATTGAGTACAATATTAATGTCTCGATCATATTTTTTAGTTTTTCTGATCAATTTATAGCCATCAAACTATTTTATTTATAATCTATATTTCATAACTTTTCTTACCTTAAAATTACGTAATTTTGATAAAAATTGAAGATGTTACAAATTTTTAAAGATCTAATGATTGCATAAAACTATAAACTGCGTAACAGTAAAATTTTAAATCATTTTATGATTTTGTTGGTCAAATTTGGACACTAAAACTATAATTATAAATTATATATTATAAATTTTTTGTTGGTATGAAAATTATAGAACTTAGATAAAAATTAATGAATTTTTAACTATTTAGAATTATTGAAAAAAAATTCGAATTATTATAGCGGTTTTAAACTTCCGAATCTCTATTTTTCGATAACGTGTTTTAATATAATTCTATATGTATAGGTTATGAGCATATTAGATTAATTGCCTAATTATACATTCATAAGATATATCGAAGTTAACTTTGTTCATCGTTAACAATTCTTTATTAATACCGATTAATCTAATAAGAAAACTAGATCAAAATAAGAACTTCTATATGATGCTACCTACTCAAGATTATATTACCATAAAAACAGAAAATTATCTTAATAGTAATTTTGGACAAGATAGATTTTTCTACATGTAATGCAAAATGAGATGGCAAACACTGAGAGAAGTATTATAACAATTACATAAATGGATAATAGAAATCCCAAGTGGAGACAGTAACAATACTTTCTCTGAAACATTTTTCACTCGATGTTTTGAGTTTGACTCATGATCATAGCTAAAATAATCTCTTGCTCGCTCGTATTCAGGCTCTAAATTGATAAGATCCTGTTGATTAGCCAGAATTGTTCTGGGTCCGTGCAGGTGTAAAAATTGTGACATGTTCCTTGCTGGAAGAGCTGCGTAAATACTGGAAGAAATTCAATTCTATAAGCAAATAAATACAAAGATGTTGAAAAACTAGTGTTTGTCATAAGAGTTACAGTTCTTTTTCCAATAATACAAGGGAAGTTTCTCATTCATGGAAACACTCCTAGAGAAAACAATCACATTCTAAAGAAAACCAAACATAAGCAATGGCAGAGAAAACAACAGGATTGTCACAATTTTATATGGGCTATTCATCAATCGGCTCGCATGTGAAGGAGGTGAAGCTGCAGGACTTGGAGTTGAAATAGCCGTGGCATTTTCCTTTGAGCATGTGAAGTTGCATCGACTTGGACGAACAACTCTATAAACTCCACTGCTAGCTAGTATAAAAATATCCTTCCTGTTGTCTTCACCAAATGAGAAAATATATCCCAGAGCTGGAAGAGCACTTCCCGGAACAGAGCTGCAGCTAATAGGAGAGTCATCTGCACAACTAAAAGCAATTCTATGGGAGGAAAAGTTGCCACTGTTTCTGGGTTCTCAATGCCTGTCCACATAGCACCAGCATACAGATCTGCATACAAGTACCTGCCAA